GTGAAATCAATTATTGATTATCCTAAACCTAAGGCACTTCATGAATTACGCAGATTCTTAGGAATTATCAATTATTATCGTCGCTGTCTCAAGGATGCTGCAAATCATCAAGCTCTGTTAACAGAATATTTAAAGGACAGTCGCAAGAGGGATAGAAGAATTATTTCTTGGACTAAAGAAGCGGAATTAGCTTTCGAGTCATGTAAAGAAGAACTTTTACAAGTTACTACCTTTCTCATCCTGCTCCTCATGCTCCTCTTATTTTAACTTGTGATGCTTCTGACTTTGCTGTTGGTGCATCACTTGAACAGTCTATTGACGACGATATCAAACCAATAGCATTTTTCTCAAAGAAACTAGACAAAGCTCAAAGAAATTATAGCACTTATGATAGAGAACTTCTTAGCATTTATTTGGCTATTAAACATTTCAGACATTTTGTTGAAGGAAGACAATTGATTATTAGAACTGATCATAAACCTTTGATTTTTGCTTTCCGTCAGAAATTGGATAAAGCGTCACCAAGACAGATCAGACAATTGGACTTTATTGCTCAATTCTCTACAAATATTACCTATATTTCTGGAAAAATGAATTCAGTTGCTGATGCTCTGTCAAGAATTGAATCTATTTCAATGCCTATTATAGTTTCTTTAGAAGAACTTGCTAATTATCAGAAAGAAGATGAAGAACTTCAAGTTTTACTTTCTTCAAATTCTTCACTTCTGTTGAAGAAACTTACTCTTTCAGGATCAACCATACCTATTTATTGTGATTGCTCTTCGGAATTAATTCGTCCATATGTTTCTAAACTCTTACGCAAGAGAATTTTTGATGTTGTTCATGGACTCGCTCACCCAAGCGGCAGATTGACATCTAAACAATTACTACTGAAATTCATTTGGCCTTCTTTAAAGAAAGATGTGAAGGAATGGACTCGAACTTGTCTTCCATGTCAACGTGCGAAGATTTCAAGACACACCAAGAATTCTCCAATTAAGATTGCAATTCCTGATCAACGCTTTCAGCATGTGCATTTAGACATTGTTAGACCACTTCCTATTTGTCAAAATTACCGTTATTGTCTTACTATGATTGATCGTTTTTCCAGATGGCCTGAAGCTGTTCCTATTTCTGAGATTTCTGCTGAAACTATTTCTACAACATTTTATTCACATTGGGTAGCACGTTTTGGTTCTCCTATCAGCATTACAACAGATCAAGGTCCTCAGTTTGAAGCAGCTTTATTCAAAGCTTTAACAAACCTAATTGGCTGCCAAAGGATTAGAACTTCTGCTTATCATCCTGCTTCAAATGGAATTCTGGAAAGATGGCATAGAACTTTGAAAGCAGCGATTATGTGCCACGAAACAACCAACTGGGTAGAATCGTTACCTTCAGTTCTTTTGGGATTACGTTCGTGTTTCAAAGAAGATTTAAAAGCTTCACCAGCAGAACTTCTTTATGGATCCACTCTTCGTATTCCTGGAGAATTTTTCATTGAAGAAGATTTTCCTGCAGATCCTGAAATCTTTCTTGAAAAACACAGGATTCATATGAGGAATATCAGATCATCTCCTACAAGTCATCATTGCAAAAGATCACCTTTTGTTCACAAGAATCTTTTTGATTGTACTCATGTTTGGATTCGAGAAGATACTGTTAGGAAGTCACTACAACCTCCTTATTCTGGCCCTTTTCCTATTGAGAAACGTATCTCTGATCATTTATTTGCAGTTAATGTTTCAGGAAAAGTTGTCAATATTTCGACAGAACGTCTCAAGCCAGCCTTCATTCCTAGAACTTCAGATTCTACTGAACTTTCTACCAGATCTTCAGCTCCTGTTCCTGCTACTTCAGCTCCTGTTTTGCTACTTCAAATCCTTCTTTTTCTTCTACTGTTGGAAGAGCTTTACGTACCTACCCACCAAAAAAGAAGAAAGTCCATTTCGCAACGAATATCGTCACTAGGGGGGGAGTACTGTAGCATTCATCATCCACACCTTTCATTTACACTCTACACTTTTATTACACCTTACACTTTTCACTGCACTTTTACACTTTTACATCTTTATACATCTATATATATAAGCACCGTCTGTCTGTATGTATGTACGCGAACTACTTCCGCATTTGTGGACCGATTTTCGTGAAACTGGTACCAAAATGTCGCAAATTTTTCGGGGGTGGCTGCTGTGGGGTTTTTTTTTTAATTTTTTTTTTTTTTACAGAGGAGGGTATGTTTAATCTTTTTTTGCAATATTTCTGAACACATGGTATCAAAATGTTGCAAATTTTTTTGGAGATAGCGACGATGCGGTTTTTTTAAGTGTTACACCCCCACCCACGCACCCACCCACGCATCCACCCACGCGCATGCGCATTTATGGACCAATTTTAACGAAATTAGTACCAAAATGTTGCAAATTTTTTTGAGAAAACTACTGGTTTATTTTTTTAAGTTTACCCCTCCACCCACGCACCCACCCACGCAATCGTATATTTATGAACCGATTTTTTTTAAATTGGTACTAAAATGTTGCAAATTTTTTGAAGATGAAGACGATGTGGTTTTTTCAAGTGTTACACCTCCACCCACGCATTCACCCACGCGCGTGCGCATTTATGGACCAAAAGCACCGTCTGTCTGTATGTATGTACGCGAACTACTTTCGCATTTGTGGACCGATTTTCGTGAAACTGGTACCAAAATGTTGCAAATTTTGCTGTGGGGTTTTTTTTTAATTTTTTAATTTTTTTTTTTCTACAGAGGAGGGTATGTTTAATCTTTTTTTGCAATATTTCTGAACACATGGTATCAAAATGTTGCAAATTTTTTTGGAGATAGCGACGATGCGGTTTTTTTAAGTGTTACACCTCCACCCACGCACCCACCCACGCATCCACCCACGCGCATGCGCATTTATGGACCAATTTTAACGAAATTAGTACCAAAATGTTGCAAATTTTTTTGAGAAAACTACTGGTTTATTTTTTTAAGTTTACCCCTCCACCCACGCACCCACCCACGCAATCGTATATTTATGAACCGATTTTTTTTAAATTGGTACTAAAATGTTGCAAATTTTTTGAAGATGAAGAGGATGTGGTTTTTTCAAGTGTTACACCTCCACCCACGCATTCACCCACGCGCGTGCGCATTTATGGACAAATTTTTACGAAATTGGTACAAAAATGTTGCAAATTTTTATGAGAAAGCTGTTGTGTGGTTTTTTAAAGTTTTATCCCGCCCACGCATCCACCCACGCATTCACACATTTATTCACAGACTTTTTCGAAATTTGTATTCAAATTTTGTTGGGGATGGCTACTATAATTTTAACAAATTTTTATCATCCTATTCATCCACCCACGCACCCATGTGCATACGCATTTATTGACTTGGTCATACCAAGAAGTAATTTTTAAAAAATTTGTGTACGTGTTTGTGATTATGTGTGCAATTCGTGTAAATAAACCTTTAATTTGTATGCCTTGACCATAGTAACATTTAAATTCAATATTCTTATCTTATACATACATTTCCTTCAACTTTTTTAAAATCAATGTGACATATAATACTGCTTAACCAAGATGTCTAAAGAGAGCAGCGAAAATGCATGCAGTTCAAATCAGCATAATGTAAGTAGATTTTAATTTTAGAGAGAGAGATAGAGACAGAGAAAAAGGGAGAGTGAGAGAGGAAGAGAGAGAGAGAGAGTGTCTTAAAGAAAGAGAGAGGGAGAGAGGGAGGGAGAGAGAGGGAGAGAGAGAAAGAGAGAGAGCGTGTGCCTTAAAGAAAGAGGGAAGGAGAGAAATAAGGAGAGAGAGAGCATGTGTCTTAAAGAGAGAGAGAGAAAGAGCGCGTGTGTTCTAGAGAGAGAGAGAGAGAGAGAGAGAGGGAGAGGGAGAGAGAGAGAGAGAGTGTGTCTCAAAGAAAGAAAGAGAAAGAGAGAGAGCGTGTGTGTCTTAAAGAAAGAGAGACAGAGAGAGGGAGAGGGGGAGGGAGAGAGAGAGAGAGAGAGAGAGAGAGAGAGAGAGAGAGAAAGAGAGAGAGGGATTAATTTAATAGTAGATATATATTATATGTATTTTTTTAGAATAACATAAGTAGTGAAGCCGTTATAATCAATGGAATAAATTATGATGAGCAAAGCAGCACGGAAATGTCAACAAGGCAAAGGGACATGGAAGAATTTAGAGACGGTAAATAAAAATTAATAATAATAATTAATTTAAAATTTTTTAAATTTTTTAATAAATATTTTGGTTGCATAATATCTTTTAATTATATCTGTAACATTATATATAGAGATATCTAATTAAATTTTAAAAAATTTCAGTGCTTGAAGATGGGCTGGATGATATTTTAGTACAAGCACTAATTGAATTTGAAAATCAGGAGATAAAGAAAGAAGAATTGAAAGAAGAAGGGAAAAATAATAACAAACGAAAAGATATAAGTAATGATAACAAGAGCAAGAAATATAAAAAAAATAAAATTTGATATGTAAAAATAAATTAATAATGATTCATTTCATTGATTTTTTTTCATAATTTTTAATATCTATTTCTAATGTATGATTTAATATGTAATTTTTATATTTAAATTATACGTAATATGTATTTACTATATATTTATTTAATAAAAATATATCTCTATATATATATTAATAATTTATAGATATTTATTATTTTAAAAAGTAAAGTGTGAGAGTGAGAGAGAGAGGGAGAGAGAGACAGAGACAGAGAGAGAGAGAGTGAGAGAGAGAGGGAGAGAGAGACAGAGACAGAGAGAGAGAGAGAGAGAGGAGAGAGAGAGAAGAGAGAGAAGGGGGAGAGAGAAAAGGGGAGGGAGAGGGAGAGAGAGGGGAGAGGAGAGAGAGAAGAGGAGAGAGAGAGAGAGAGAGAGAGAGAGAGAGAGAGAGAGAGAGAGAGAGAGAGAGAGAGAGAGATTATTAATTTATTATATTTATTTTATAATATGAGTAGTGAAGCACTTTTTGCAAAAAATAATTTATTTAAGAAGAAGAAATGTTAGATATTACATGGTAATATAATTTATAATTCTGCTTTCGCGTCCGCGGCCACGGCCGCGTCCACGCCCGCGTCCACGGCCGCGTCCGCGTTCTCGACCTCTTCCGGCTCTTGCCCATCGAGCTTTCTGTTTTACTGCAAAAAATGATTATATTACATAATATTTATTTATAATATTATATTATTATATATAATATTAATAATATTGATATTATATATTATTTATTTTGATTTATAATTCTTTATTATTATAATTTTTTTTTATTATTATATACTTACATTGGAATGTATTTTTTTCTATATTCTCTGACGGTGTCATTGCAGGCTGTGGGTCGTCAATAGCTACCACCGTTGCAGGCTGTGTATTCTCAGCAGCCACCATTGCAGGCTGTGTATTCTCAGCAGCCACCACTGCGGGCTGTGGTTGTTTCGCCATAGCCAGCTGCTGCTGCAATTCTTGCAATTGCCTCTTTAAAATATTATTTTCAACAAAAAGTGTTTCGCAGTACCTGATGTCATTCTAAAAAAAGATATAGAATATATCTATAATAAATTAATAATTCTTATTTATCTCTTTCTTTAAGACACGCTCTCTCTCTTTCTCTCTCCCTCTTTCTTTGAGACACACGCTCTCTCTCTCTCTCTCTCTCTCCTCCCCCTTCTTTCTCTCCTTCTTCCTCTCTCTTTCTCCCCTCTCTCTCTCTCTCTCTCTCTCTCTCTATAAAATTAAAATCTACTTACATTATGCTGATTTGAACTGCATGCATTTTCGCTGCTCTCTTTAGACATCTTGGTTAAGCAGTATTATATGTCACATTGATTTTAAAAAAGTTGAAGGAAATGTATGTATAACATAAGAATATTGAATTTAAATGTTACTATGGTCAAGGCATACAAATTAAAGGTTTATTTACATGAATTGCACACATAATCACAAACATGTACACAAATTTTTTTAAATTACTTATTAGTGTGATTTTGTAAAAATCACTACTTAGGAGTGAGTTTCGATTTTTTAACGTGAGTCATTTAATAAATGATTATATAAGTTGCTGGTTTCATATTAAATTACGTTAAATGTCATAACGGATAGATTAAATAAAATAGAAAATATTATAATAAATGAAATTAGTACAACAAAAAAGGAGTCAAAGACGTAAAACTTTACGAAAAAGGAGTTAGTGATAAACGAAGTTAAAACGTTGAAGAGGAAGAGTGAGGGAGAGAGAGAGAGAAAGAGAGAGAGACGGTAGATATTTTAAATCTTTATATGTATTTGTTTGTAATTATTTTAATAATTACAATTTTATTTACTTATATAAAAAACAGATATTCTAAATTAAATTATATAAAAATATATAAAATTATATTATATATATAAAAAATATAAAAATAAACCTGTGCGCCTGTAAAAAAGGATATTGTGCGAAAAAAGGCTGCTGTGCGCCTGTAAAAAAGGCTGCTGTGCGCCTGTAAAAAAAGGCTGCTGTGCGCCTGTAAAAAAAGGCTGCTGTGCGCCTGTAGGCTGCTGTGCGCCTGTAAAAAAAGGCTGCTGTGCGCCTGTAAAAAAAGGCTGCTGTGCGCCTGTAAAAAAGGCTGCTGTGCGCCTGTAAAAAAAGGCTGCTGTGCGCCTGTAAAAAAGGCTGCTGTGCGCCTGTAAAAAAAGGCTGCTGTGCGCCTGTAAAAAAAGGCTGCTGTGCGCCTGTAAAAAAAGGCTGCTGTGCGCCTGTAAAAAAAGGCTGCTGTGTGTTTATACAAAGAATTAATATAAAACAGAATAAGCACGAAAAAGAAAAATTCCATCAAGAAAATCGATGAATTAATGAATAAATAATTCTTGATCATACAGACAGACGGTACTTATATATATAGATAGATAATATAGATATAATTATTACGATTAATATTTATAATATACCTACGTATACGCCGTATACGGTACGACACAGATAAGTATGCCTCAAAAGAGAAAAGGCGGAAATTTATATAAAATTAGTCACGAAAGCAAGCGCTTACGACAAATGCGAAAAATTGAGAGTTCGGAGGAAAGATCTCAACGACTTGAAGCTAATGCTCAAAGAAATTATCAGCAGAGAGTCAATGAAAATGATGACAAAAGGTCTCAACGACTCGAAGCTAATGCTCAAAGAAATTATCAGCAGAGGGTCAATGAAAATGATGACGAAAGGTCTCAACGACTCGAAGCTGATGCCCAAAGACATGCTCAGAAAAGGCAACAAGCTAGACAATTAAATCATCATATTGCGCTAATTGCTAAGGGCAATGAAATAAATGTGTCAGTTCATACACTTGGCCAAATGAATATAGAATGCCAATTTTGCAAATCGTTAAATTTTGAATGTGAAAAACCTAAAGATGGGAAATTTACATATTGTTGTCAAAAGGGTAAGCTTACATTAAAGTCAATAAATTGTCCTGATTTTATTAAAAAATTATACATGGGAAATGATTATGCATCGAAAAATTTCCTTCATAATATTCGTTCATATAATAGCGCTTTAGCTATGGCTTCTATGGGTGCCCCGGGCAATAGAAATCCATTGGATGTTGTGAGCAATGCTCCTTATTGCTTAAAGATTCATGGGCAATATCATCATTTGACTTCGACAGCAATGCGCCCAGCAGATGGGCAAGCTCCGCGCTTTGCGCAGCTTTACTTTTTAGATATAGAAGAAGCTATAAATCATAGAATGAATAAGAAAGCTAATCAAGAGTGTGATTTTGAAATAATGAAAAATTTGTCAAGTTTTATGGTTGAATGCAATGAATTTGCAAAGACTTTCAAGATGATGCGTCAAGTTGAACAAGATCTTAATCCGATAGGGAATAAAAATATAAATTTAATGTTGTCCTTTCGAAACGATCCTCAACATGATCAAAGAAGATATAATGCTCCACAAGCTAATGAAATAGCTGTGGTCTTTCAGAATGTAGATGGTGAGCCTCCATTTGAAAGAGACATTCGGATTTATAATAAAAATTCAAACGATGTTCAACAAATATCAATTCTGGACAAAAGGTGTGACCCAATGTGTTATCCTTTGTTATATCCATATGGTAACGATGGATGGCATTCAGAAATGAAATCTTATAATTATAAATATTCAGGATTTAAAGTAACTCAAATGGATTATTATGCTCATCTATTGGCACCAAGAGCCGAATTTAGCCAATTTAAAAGAGCAGGCAAATTGAGATGTCAATTTATACTTGATGCCTATATGAAAACTGAAGCCAATAGACTTAATTATATTAAATTAAATCAACCTCAATTAAGAGCAGAACTTTATTCAGGATTAATGGATCACCTTGATAATCGAGCACAAAATAAGGGAATTACAGTTGGTGTACCTGTAATATTACCATCTTCATTTATGGGCAGTCTAAGGAACATGCAAGAAAGATACCAAGATGCCATGTCTTTGGTAAGAAAGTATGGTAAACCAGACATTTTTTTAACCATGACTTGCAATCCTCAATGTCCTGAAATTAAGGATAATCTTGATGGATGTCAAATAGAGTTTCGACCTGATTTAGTCGCTAAAACATTTAATTTGGATGTCAAAGAGATTTTAAAAGATTTAATTCAAAATAAAATTTTTGGAAATATTATAGCTTATGCAGGTGTGATTGAATTTCAAAAAAGAGGACTTCCACATTTGCATTTACTTGCAATGTTGAGCGATGAAGATAAGCCCCGACTTCAAGAAGTCATTGATATGATGGTATGGGCTGAAATTCCTAATGAAGAAAAATATTCAGAACTTAATGAAAAAGTTTTGAAACACATGATTCACGGTCCATGTGGAGATCCGTCGAGGAGATATCCTTGCACTGGGGACGATGGAAAATGTTCAAAAGGTTTTCCAAAAGAATTTTGTGATAAAACTAATGCTAATGTAAATGGATATCCCATCTATCAACGTAGGAATATTGGAATAAAATACATCGTTAGAAATAAAGAAGTGGATAATCGATGGGTGGTGCCGTATTCACCATATTTAATCATGAAATATAATCGACATATTAATTTAGAAATATGTTCATCAGTGAAGAGCGTAAAATATCTATATAAATATATTCATAAAGGATTTGATTGTGCTGCAATTGAAGTGCAAGCACGAGATGGTACAAAATTCATTAGAGTAGATGAGGTTAACTCATTCCTGGATGCAAGATATGTTAGTGCTCCAGAAGCAATGTGGAGACTTAATGGATATGATCTGTTCATGAAATCTCATACAGTAATAAGATTGGCAGTTCATTTGCCTGATCGCCAAATGGTTTATTTTCGAGCAGGAAATGAAGAACAAGCTGCTCAAAGAGAGCTAAATCGAGATACTACGCTGACTGCATGGTTCAAATTAAATCAATATGATGAAAATGCAGTAAATTATCTTTATACAGATATTCCTTATCATTATGTTTATAATAAAAAAGAAACTAAGTGGAAGCCACGTAAAAAAGGTGGTGAAAAAATAATTTCAAGACTATATACAGTAAGCATAAAAGATATTGAAAGATTTTATCTCCGTCTTCTTCTACTACATGTGACTGGAGCAAAATGTTTTGAAGATTTGAGAAATGTAAATGGAATTATTTATAATACGTTTAAGGATGCAGCAATTGCAAAAAATTTAGTAGAAACTGATGACTTTTGGGGAAAAACGATGGAGGAAGCAACAGAATCGAATATGCCTGCACAACTTCGAGAATTATTTGCTTACATTTGCATCTTTGGAAATCCAATAGATGTACCAACAATTTGGAATAAATACAAAGATTTTATGATTGAGGACTTTGTAAATAATAATGTTGTAAATCCCGAAAATATGGCGTTAAACCATATACAACAAATTCTGATAAATAATGGAAGTAGTTGTGAGAAATTTCAATTACCAAATCCAACTGAAATAAATATTTATGAAACAGAGTATAATGTAGATGAAGAAAAAATACGTGGTGATTATTTATTATCTACACTAAATGATGAGCAAAAATACGTGTATGATATAGTAATGCGAGCAATTGAAAATGAAAATGAACCTAAGCGTTTGTTTTTTATTGACGGGTTTGCAGGAAGTGGTAAAACCTATCTATTTAATACATTTCTAAGTGTTATTCGAGGAAGAAATGAAATAATTCTTCCATGTGCTTCAACTGGAATTGCAGCCACACTTCTGAAAGGAGGAAGAACTTATCATTCTCTGTTTAAGCTTACAATTCCAATTGATGATGCAGCTAAATCAAATATTAGAGGAAATTCTCAAGCTGCACGAGAATTGATCAATGCCAAATTAATCATATGGGATGAAGTAAGCATGACTGTTGGACATGCCTTAACAGCAGTTGATAAACTTTTCAAGGATTTAATGAAGAATCATCAACCATTTGGAGGAAAAGTAATTTTATTTGCAGGAGATTTCAGACAAAATCTTCCAGTAGTACCTCATGTACACAAAACAGCGATAATTGAATCGACTGTAAAATACAACCCTATATGGAGGAATGTAATTAAGGTTAAATTACAGCAAAATATGAGAACTGCGG